CGACGACGACTACTACTACTCGTACCGGTACTCCAGCATGTCTTGAGCCTCTCAGAAGTCAGGGCATTCCAGAGCGGAGGAATCCAACATGTTTTGATCCTCGCGACCTTCAAACTCTTCGTTGGATGAAGCCGCCGAACGGATGCAGCAGATTTTTGCATCAAGGGTGTATCCTAGGGCCGTAGGGCAAGGTGGCAATGGCAGAGTGGCAAACCCAACAGAAGATGCGACTGTCCGGGGCAGCAGTCGGCGAACTCTATAGCGACATAGCTGCAGGAACCACTTTCCTGTCGTTCTAGCTGCTTTTCGCATTTTGGGGCAACATACTGATCTTGCCAACTCAGGGGTCTGGGTTGCTCCCGATGGCAAGACTTTCACCAACATCGACAAGGCGTGCAAATATGCAGATCTGCGACAATTTCCTTCTCCGAAGAGCGATGGGAATCAATGCAGACAGGACCAGACATGTGTGGTTTTGTCGAGTTTCGGGCCCTACTTGGAGGACCGTGCCGTTTATAAGTATTTAATGCAGTTGCATGATTTACGTTCTGGTTACTAAGTAACTTATTAAGTCCAGTAACATGAGTTATAAGTTCGGTAACCACACCTCCAAGTGCTTTAAGTGGATTATAAGTCCGACCATGTTTTGTGTTGACTTGTAACTACTTAAACATTAGTGTATTTAAGTTACAGTTGTGCTTAACCAGATACTGTACTTATGTTGTACTTAAAGTACTTATAAACCAACCTGGGCAACTGAGTTGTGATCGACTTAGTGTTGACTTATAAGTTCAGTTATAAGTCAACACTAAGTGGGACATAAGTCCACCGACCGGCCTCCGAGTAAGTAGGCTAAGTGGGTCGCCGGCTAAGTCCGCTAAGTGGGTTCCGGATAAGTCCGCTAAGTGGGATCCGCGTCGTGTCTTGCTAAGTCCGATAAGTAGGATCAGCGCACTGTTCTGGAAGCGGGTATATATATATATATATGTAGATCTTTAGCCAAGGCGCCCCCTCGGTGATCGAGGTGTCCGATCGGACTTTTGAATTAAGATCGACATGAAGTTTTGTTCGGATCTGCAGTGGCCGACTCTTACGTTGCGGTCGCATGAAAGGAATTAAGATCGAGATGAAGTTTTGTTCGGATCTGTGGCCGACTCTTCTTACGTTGCGGTCGCATGAAAGGAAATAGAAGATCGAGATGAAGTTTTGTTCGGAACTGTGGCCGACTCTTACGTTGCGGTCGCATGAAAGGTGCAGGATATATAGCTGTTCAGCGAGAGTCGAGCGGTGTAGATTGGAAATTGGTGTACATAATCACACATGCCGACATAGACATATACATATAACAAGAAACCACGAACCCACCTTGAAGTTTGTTTCGGTTATGTTAATAGTTTATCTGCGTGTTATATGTTTGCACATCCATGTATGCAGTATGTGTATACATATGTATATGTGTGTATTTTTAGTATATAGGGAGAAACACACATGCCTGCATATTTACACAAATACATGCACATGGTGCCTATATATATACTTGCCCACCCACATACCCAGCAACCTGTATGTACAAAATTTTAAACAGAAGTGCCATGTATATATACGAATATTAAACACTCAAGGCTCATATATAAACCCCATGTTTATATAGATCCTAAACCCGAAGAGTATATATCTGCATATTATATATTCCTTAAACCCCAAACCCTAAACCCCGTCTCATGTCTTGCCGCGGCTTCTACAGTGCCCCCGCTCGAGGCAGGGAGGGGGGGGGCCGCGGGGAGGTGGGGTTGGGGTCGAGGGTTAGGCTTCTTAAGCGAAGGGGGTTTTAGGGTTTGTCATCGGTGTAGTTAATTTAGTTTCGGAACGTCTTTATTCAGTTTTCTTTGTATGGGGCCTCAGGGTGTATAAGCAAAGCACTGGGTTTCTGCCCAGTGCTCTGAACGTCGAAGTCTTGATTCGAACAAGCGCGGGTACAGCGGGAGCAACTGTGACTCTCTAATGTAGCCAAGTGCCTGGTCATCTATAAAATGTTTTTAGAGGAGGTTCCCATGGTCTATATATCTACTATCTACTCTATATGTATTTGTATTTAACATATAGAGTAGATGGGTGAGTTTAGGAGGTGTAGCATGTAAGTGGCAGTCTAAATGATCTTGAAATAGCACTGCAATCGTCTTGAAGTAGTATACAGTTTGACAAGGTCATTGTACTTAGACGTATATTCCGTAAGACTAAAACTTGCATCATGCGAGTTTGATTTAACGTTGCCTCTTTGAGGGAAGGTTTTTTTGGCATGAAGGTAGATGTGTTGGGCTTGAGGATTTACATATCTACATATATATTCAATATGCAAATATGGGTTCATATATCATGGTTGCACAGGTTTAGCGTTTGTGGGTTTCTATGTTTGAATTCGTATATATGCGTCTCAGGAGGGTTTCTTGGGTTGGGTGTCTTAGGTCGCTCTTTTTTTGAGTTCATATGTCTATATAGTATATGGCCTATATATAACGTATGTTGTAGAAACTTGTGTTGGATTCAGATATGCAGGTTTGGTTGTTGGTCTGGAGGGCTTTGGTGTCACGATTAAAAGTTGGTCTGGAGGGCTTTGGTGTCACGATTAAAAATGGTCTGTCATGGTTTTTGGTTGGGGCTATATAAGCACAGGTATAAAGTTGGTATCGGGTATATATATATAGATATATATATAATTTGGGGTTTAGGGGGAACTGCGGTTTGTGGCAGGACGTATATAACTAGAAACAAACTGCATGCTCATTGCATGCTTGGGCATTTAACCTTGTACCGTCGGCGGCAGAACTTTCCAGACACATGTTCGCCGCTGGGCTGCAGCAGGACACATTAAAGTTCGCTGCACCATACAAACCTGCGAGTCAGTATGCTCTTCGCTGAGCATGGACTGTTTATTCGAAAGGGGTTTCTGATGTATATAGCGACCAGAACATCCGGAAATGATTTGAGCGGAAGCGGCTGACGAAACCGTTCGAGTGTGTGACTGCCGGCCACGCTGTCCAGCACATATGCTTTCATGTATCCGCGCAGCGAAGATTAAGGCACAGATGTCTCTGCCAAGCATTCAGCAGCATGCTGGACTATATATATACATTCATGTTCGCTGCTGCTTGCTGCAGGACTCCGGTTCGCAGCAGTTTTTGTAGCATAGAACTTCGCAAGATGGCAGACGTGCTTCCGGCATTGGAGGTGGCTTTTGTCGATCACTTTTGGGAGTGGAACGGTGGCAAGGGCCTTCCCGCGAACCCCAGGTGGTGTCCACTCTCGGAAAACCAGCAAAGGCTGATTCGTGAAGAGAGCCCTTCATTGACTCTTCTCCAGGACAATCGAACATTTCGTAAGGTAGCGCAGTATGACTCGGAGGTCATGCTTTTCCAGGCCGACGGCATGGACATTGGTGTTGAGTCTTATGTGCGGGCTTTGGTCCGTCCAGTCGGGCCGGACATGCTACTCAGCGTTCACGCCGACCACATGCCAACGGATGGGTTGTTGAAGTTGCTCTGCATGTCGAGAGGAAGTAAGTGTGTGGGTGTGTGTGTGTGTGTCTTTGTATGCTTCTATAACAACACATGGCTTAAACAAGCAGAAATATAAACATGCATGTTCATACATACATGTATATATACACGTGCACATGCAATCGAAAGAATCTGAAGGTTCCAATGTCGCTCCTGCATATCGTCGCGGGCACTCCTTCACCTCCATGTGATTGACGCGGAAAGCCTCTCCATCAGCGTCCTGGAGCTGAAGATCAAGCGGCTTTGTGTTGATCAGAACTTCATCAGTCCACAGCAACAGCTACGCTTGGTGAGCTCGGCCAGCGGTGAGCTGATGAGCTCTTTTGGGAGGTTCTTTGTTTGGGGACCAAAGGTGGCTGCCGGCCTCAGGCCGCGCAAGCGCCTGGTCAAGAAAACCACGGTTTCCAAAGTCTCCCTTCGAAAATTCTTTTTGCCATGCAGTTCTTGAAGCTGCATGTTTGCGTCTTGCATATATAGCGCCGGCACTAGAAGGATGATGATCGTGTTCGCTATAACAGACTGCAGCAGGACGACGTTCGCTGCGCCAACATACTTTTGTGATGTAGCGGCCTGCACTTCGGGAAAGGGCGTGAGCGAAAGCGGCCGACGAAGTAGATATCCCATGCATCCACATGCGCCGTGACAACTTGAAGAGTCATGTTTATGTGGCAATCACACACAGCAGCAGGACTACGTGCATGTTCGCTGCTGTTTGCTGCAGGACCAGGTTCGCAGCAGTTTGTAGCACGGCCGTGAGAGACTCAAGTTTGAAGCATGGCAGTGACGGCCGACGAGCTTCCCGAATTGGAGATAGCATTTCTCCATCGGGGATGGGCGGCCGACGGCATCCTTCCTGCGACGACCAGGTGGATCTCGCTCTCCAAAGACGACCAGGATCGCATTCATGCGGGCAAGAGTTTGATCCTCTTGAGGGACACGTGGCCTAGGAGGTTTAGGCGAGTTCAAGAATACGATGGCGGGCTATGCCGCTACCAAACCGATTGGCATGGCGACGGCTACATAGGCGCTTTGGTCCGTCCCGTAGGGCCAAGCCTGGTACTCACCATCTACGCGGATCACATGCCCAAGCAAGGATCCTTGAGGCGCCTGCATGCATGAGATTTGCACACACGTATTTATGTGTGTTTATATACATATGTATTTATATGTCAAATATGTGTATATACGTGTGTATATATATATATACATATACATATATATATATATGTATATATCTATGTAAACATACAATTGTATATATAGTATATGTAAGAACAAGTATACTATGATTGTTGGTTGTGCATTTTTTACCTGTATGTGCATTTGATTAAATGCATTATATAATGATTTGGGACGCTGTGTTTGTTGTAGCGGTGTGCAGGATTTTGCACATCGACATCTCATGCAGTTCCCAGGCTATATACATCTATAATATTTATATAGACATATATGTACATATATATATATACACATCTATGCAGGTTTCAACTGCGCTCCCTGGTCACGGGGCGGCCCGTCATGGATGAGATTTTGAGTGACAAGGAGAGCCTGTCGATGCAGATTCTGGCAATGAGGCTGAAGCGGCGCTTTATTGACGACGGCATGATCACTAGTCAGCAAGCATTCCATTTTGTGAGCTCTGCCACCGGTGAGAGGATGAATGTGCATCAGATTGGCTTCATTTGGGGCCCAAGGGTTTTAATGGTAAAGCCCCGCACACGACTCTCAAAGAAAACCACGGCGTGGAAAGTTATGTTGCGAAACTGGTTTTTGCCATGTAGCTTTTAAAGCTGCGTTGCCTATGGGGCATGCGCTGAACTTCAACCAGGATGATGCACTATAGTCACTGACGTATTGTATAGACTGTATATCTATATATATATATACATGTATATAGATACATACACACATATACATATATACATATAATGTACATACAATCTTTTATGCAACAAACACACATAATGTGATATTTTGATGTTTTACATATATGTGCATTGTTCCCGTGCCCCTTGGTTGATTGGTGCCTCCGAAACAGATTTTTGAAGAAGCTCATTGGTTAAAGGACCGAATCCGTCTGCAAAAAAAATTGCCTTTGCATTGCGCGTCCGTGCAGAGCTTTGCATGTAGACATGGAACGCTGCAGAGGCATGTCTCGCAGCGATGCTTCGCAGGGTGCATGTGCATGCATGTGCTCGCGAAGCTTGGCTTCCAACTGATTTTGAAATCTCATCGGAAAACGACCCTCTTCCGTTATCATGGCGCTCACACCGGAACTGGCCAGTAAGATCGAGAAGCTGCTGGCGGCTGCCACTGGCGGGGCCCTTGTCCGCTCCATGGAGCAATGCTACAGCATGCTGATGGAAGCGGGGTTGCTGTACCAGCAGAAGGTGCACTCCAACTTTATCGGGGTGCACCCGAGCAATCGGGACGGCTGCGGAGTTTCGGCGAAGCACGTGCACGAACTCCTTGCAGACCTCGTTGGTTTAGGATGGAGCTCTTCGGAGTTTCGTGGCCTGTGCGTGGAAGTCTCAGAGTCAGAACGCTCCCAAGTGTATCGGTGGAACCAAGAGTTGGCCGAAAGCTCAGAGGGGCGAGTGCCTGGGTTTCCGTCAGAAACCCATCTGAAATACGCCACGCTGGCGGGATCGCACACGAACCAGGTGTTACGTTGTTTCCTCAACAAAGTGCCCAGCGAAGCTACTGCAGGGAAGGTGGTGACGGAGGGAGGGCGACTGAGCCTAGAAAGGCTCCAGGCATTGGATCCCGACTTTCACACAGCATGCACAGAAGGGGCCATGTGGCGCATTGTCTCACAAGCAATCCCACAACGTTTCCCGACCTTTTGTGGACTGGCGCAATCAGCCGCCAACGCGAGCGGACACGTTGCGAGGGAGGAGTCCGAACTCCAGTTGTGTCACAAGATCCACGGGGAAGTGGCACGGTGCATGGCCACAGGCAAAAGCACCGTGAACTACGTAGACGTGAAGGACGCAGTTCTGCGCTCCAAGCCAAGGAGTGCCGGTACTGTTCCGGCACTCTTTGTCTTCACTCTGCGCTTCTCCGGTGGCCAGACGGCCCACTTCCTAGAAGACACTCAGAAATTCGTGAGAGCTCACGGGTTTAACAGCCGGATGCTGGGAGCGGAAATTTTCGAGGCTCTGAACACCGAGCTGAAGGCCAATGACCCGGGCGCGCAGATCCGTCACATGCTCCTGCACTTCGCATATGGTGTGGCCGACGGCCGGGCCCTAACTGTGACAGATGTGAAGAGAGCATTGTCGGCGGGGATGGCTGCCAAACGAGAGGAAGCAACCAGATTGCTGGAGGAATGCAAAGCACTTTGTGTTGCGCATTCCGTCCAGCCGGCAATCGCGCTCAAGGCGGTTGGCTATCTCCAGATGAACATGGTCGCAGTTTTACTGGAGAAAAGAAAGTTTAAGAAGCACGAAAGCCTCCAGAAAGCTGCGGAAGACTTTGTGAAGGAAATCCAAGAGGCAGCAAAGCTCGAGTTCCCGAACCCATTCGCAAGCAAAACCTCTGCAAGTTCGTCTTCGAAGTCATCGCCCAAGGCGCCCAAAGAGGATGCAAGCCTGCTGCAGCTTGCATGCATGGCATGTTCCCGTTATGGAGTTGCATGCTGCCTGTGTCTCCTTGTCTGTCCTTATAGAGTATATATATATAAATACTAAATATATATATATATATATATAGTATATATACTTTAGTATATATATATATATATACATATAGTATATATATATATATATAGAGCGAAAGCGGCCGACGAAGTAGATATCCCATGCATCCACATGCGCCGTGACAACTTGAACAGTCATGTTTATGTGGCAATCGCACAGCAGCAGGACTACGTGCATGTTCGCTGCTGTTTGCTGCAGGACCAGGTTCGCAGCAGTTTGTAGCACGGCCGTGAGAGACTCAAGTTTGAAGCAAATATATATTCATCTGGATCGTTGTTTCCGTATATACCACAAGTTCAATAAATACATAAATAAATACATAAGCAAATATAAGTGGAGATATTAATAGACGAGGGTATATATATATATAAATAAGCAATGAAATGAGTCGTCCTTAATTCAAGACATAAACAAGTTGTACATATATATATATATAAAGGCAAGTACACATTTTACTTTTAGGTATGTTTGGTTTGCACCTTTCACCTGTGTCCACAAATATACATGTATGCCTATATATATAGCTATACACAAAGGTATATTTTGAGTTTCACATATGTATATATATATATATATATACCTATGTTTACATTTGCATATATATATAGATAAGGTTATACCGCTAAGGCATGAGCTCGACGATCAAGGCAAAAACAAAGACGACAGCCGGCTGCGAGCTGCCGGCTTTGAGATCGGCCAGACCGTTTTGCGGAAGAGTGACGCATCCACGGGGAAGATCGAAGCGATGAGCGCTTCCGAGGTCACGCTTCAAGTTGAAAACCAGGTGGTCAGGGTCGCATCGCAGAGTTTTCTAGCAGGTGAATGGCGACCACACGTGTCCAAGCAGGAGGCTGTTCCCGTGAACTTCACGGATTCGTTGCCTGTGGACTGTCTGGATTTCCACCTGGCAGAATGCAGGGCAAGAATCCTCCATCAGATGCGTGAAGACGAAGCTTCAGGGTCCGTTCACTACGGCAACCTCCAGGTTTTCGTGAAGCCAGGCCAGGTGAAGGCTGGAAAAAGGTTTGAGAAGTCTGAGCTGGTTCTGTTCCCCAGCACACATCGTATCGATTTTAGAAAACCTGGGTCCGGAAGTGCCGGAGCCATCGTGGCAGGCCTCGTGGACATCAAAGGGTGCACGTACGAAGTGTGCCTGACCAGTTGCATAGCTCAATCGCCGAATCAAGTGCTTCACCCGTTCTGGCTGATGAGAACTTCCGCCCATCAGGCGGAGTGTAATCTAGAGCTCATGCCGAAAAATCACTCCACCAGGAGGCTCAAGATCAACACGGACGTTGCGTTGCAAATTCCATATGCTCGCAACACAAAGGTGATCAATGCGGGGGACAGCTTGGTGCTGTTCCGGCCTTCAGCAACTCGCAAGCCTGAACCTTTGCTTCCTGCGGCCAAGAAAGCCCGGACTGCTTGAGTGCACACAAACTCAATTTGGCCTGCAGCTTCCGTATACATACATATTTTGAGTATAAACATATATATTTTTATTTATATTTATAAAGTGTCTATATATATATAAATATGTAGACAGAGAATGTGTGCAAAGATCTAAATCAAAAGATGCTCAAGAATCTGCAGCGGAGTTGGATTTTCAAGTCGGGCAGAGCACGTGGGCTCGCCTGACCACGGGCAGGGATGTATTCTCGCCCGTGACGTGTTCAGCGGAACAGGAGCATGAACCAGGCGCTGCGAAAAAGAGTGCATGCACATGTGCTATATCAGTGCAGATGCAGAGTTGTTGCACAAGTTCGGGCAACGTGCACATCTTGGACTATACTGTTGTTGGCGGCTGCAGGGTTCAAGGCTCGCAGACTGCCGTGCAAGATCTCATCTTCGTGATCTCTACATACACACGTAGCGTGGATGTCGAAGCCCTGCCAAATTAAGCAGGTTTGGTCGATAACCGGTGGAATGTTGAAGAAGACTTCAACGTGGCTTGCGAAAACGAAAGAGGTGGAGGACAGACTGTTCGTCCGCATCGACAAGTGGGACCGTCATTTCATTCAGTTTGTGACGGGCCAGCCCCTGGAACTCAGGAAAGAGAAGGACTCAAATACAATATAGACTTTTCAGTGTATATATATATATATGTACTATATATAAAGAAGATGTAAATATATACCGGGTATTATACTGGGTTGCCTCTTAATGAAAATAAGTTCCACAGGCATATGTATACAAAAAGCCTACGAATCAGAAAATGCCAATCCAGGATCCACATCACCTGAGCATCCCAGCCTTTCAAAACCTCCTGGACCTGCGGAAGAGCGCATGCGACAAGCTGTACAACAAACACCTCCGCGATGCTGCAGCAGTCGCTGGAGATGCTGAACCGCCCCACAGGAGTGCGAGGGAGGAGGACTTGTACCTTGCTGGTCGAGTCGTGGACATGGCCTGTCCAGATGTCCAGCTTGAGGAGGAGTTCATGCCAGGTCAGATCGTTTCGGCGTTGTGGTCGGTCAGGGACCTCGGTTCTCTGGGTTGAACTCTTGTCCGAAAACCTCGACTACATAGCCCTGTACATGAAAAAGGGCTTGGCTGAGCACATGGAGAAGAACCATGAACAACCCCGCCGGCGGAAGAAGCTTCGGGGGGATGCGGATGCAGGGCGTATGGTCCATGTGTCACCGAAGAAGAAAAATCGTAGAGGCCGGAAACGAAAGGCTGCACACATGGAGGAGGAAGAGCAGGAAGTGATCCAGGAGGAAGAGCCGGAAGCAATCCAGGAAGAAGCCCAGCCCGCCCGGCCGGCGGCCAGGGACTCCGATTCCGATGAAGACCCAGTTGCGGCCCTTCTACGATCCTAGGCGATTCTTTCCATGGAGGCGGCCTATACGTGTGCGTGTAGAGCAGATCATCACTTTTGCGCCTGCGGACCACAAACATGCCCAGGGGTATTTATGTGCTGCATCTTCATGCATCATGCAATGTCATGTCATCGAGTTAGTTCGTTCTTTTTGTCACGTGTGTCTTTGTCTGTGTCTTTATACACACTATACAAACATATGTACATGACATGTATATAGAGATTATATAGATACAGAAAACATATATATTTATTAATATACACATAAAGCACCTACATGTATATATGTACTGTCAAGACGTAAATCAATAACCATATGTTATAGTAGTGTGATCCGCATGTGTTGTGTATATATATACATATATACGTATATTGCAGTATATACAGAAATTCGTTGACATTGATGTTTACATGTATTTGTTTTGCATTGACTGATATACATTTACTATCATGTAGGAGAATATTCTTGCCTGTGGTTGGCGCCGGGGGGTTCTACCCAATTTTTTTACAACAAACCGCTATACATGTATATAGATTCCATTAATTTCACGTGTACATAAGAGAAGCCTTTAAAAAGTACATGATACAGCCGTTAGGTTGTTTTCAAGCTTCACATGTGTTGCTGACTTTCACATATGCATTGTCAGCAAAGTTTGCAGTTTGTGTAGGCCATGGCAGTGCATGACATTGACTGTTGAAAGCGTCTGGTGATTGCATGGCCGACTCGCCGCTTCTTCCTTGCATGAAGAGCTAGCAAGCAGACATGCAGTCGCAGCATGCCCCGCAGGCTTCATGTGCATGCAGGACATGTAGGCAGCAACAGATTTGCAAGCAAGGCCTATATAGCATGCACTGTGCATTGCAAAGTCTGCTTTGACAGCAAAGCCGCGACGGTCGCCATGTGTGACTCCACGCCATGTAAGATGGAGGAGGAAGTCCTCGTCGAAGTGGAGGCTGCTGCCCCGTCGCACGGGCTGGAGACTGTGAGCGATCTGGGGGGGGAAGCATTCGATTGGGACGAAGCCGAAGGGCCCGATGCACAGCAGGAGGACCGGTTTGAGTGCACAAATGAATGTATATTTGTCGTTGTCTTATGCAGCTTACATATGAATGCCCGCATGCAGGATGCCAACTGGTGGAAGCATGGATACAAGAAAGAGTGGCAGTACAAGAAGGAGGAGGCGGCATGGTGCAGCAGGTTCAGAACAGTTCAAGCCCGTATGTAACCCACCAAACCGGGTTAAGTCCTGATATGTCTATATATATATATACATATACATGCGCTCTTTGAAAGAGATTGCACACACACACATATGTATATGTGTATATGTACATATGTATGTATATATATATATATGTATATATATGTATATATGTATATATGTTTATAGACACATCTTCCCAATGTTAGTGGCCCCTCTTAACTTAACATTCTTTCGTGTGCAGAGACATATAAATAAATATATATATATATATATATGTGATATGATATGTGGGTTTACAGTTTATGTGGAACCCTATATATAGATCTTTAACACATATAAACACACATATACATACATTTATATGTTCACACACTATACACATGTTGTCTGCATGGTATATGTATATGACAGCTACATGACTCGATATGAGCAAACCAATGACAATCCCCGGTATATATGTGCACACATGTACAAATACATATACATATGAGACCATATTTAAACCCCAGAAGCCCAGGTAAAGGATGAGGACACCGACGACAACAAGGACTGGCACTGGTGGATGAAGAAGGAGGAGGAGATCATGGACGACAACAAGGATTGGCAGTGGTGGATGAAGAAGGAGGAGGAGATCATGCGAGACATGGGGTTTGCGATGGATGCAGCGGTTCGTCTATGCTAGGAACCCAAATGTAGACCTATATATGTACATATCCAAAAGCCTTAAAACCCCGCAGGAGCAGCACGACGCCGCCGCATGGCAGTGGCCCAACCACGTGAAGGAGGAAGATGGATGGACAGGGACTGTCCGCTACAAGCGGGGCGGCGACAAGACATGGAGGATGGCCGGCTCCGATTCCAAGCGCTGCAAGGTTGAGCCATGGAAGCAGCAGTGGACAAAGCAGGAGGACGAGGACGACGTGTCCACGCGTGCGGGGTCACTGGACTGTAATTTCGGTTTGTATTTTAGTTCATAAAATCACTATACACATGTGTATATAGATATATAGGCTTTAGAAAGGGCAGTCTAGGAAGTACATGGTGCATAGATGTTCCATGCATGAGATCTGTATACATGTTAGGACCCGTTGCAAAGCCTTGTATTCTTGCATGGTTGCATGGACAAGTACATCACATACACAGGAAGTCGTGAATAGTCTATGTATGGAAAAACAAGTACACGCTGTTGTATTCGTAATCATGCCATAGAATCTTACACAACACTCTTGTCAATATATGTCGTGCGTAACAACCATGGAACCGTATGGTCAAGCAAGATGGATACGCACATGCATCCCAGGTCCAGGTCGACCAGCAGCTCGCGAGAGGGCTTCTATCTCCCCAACGGCGGTGGATGGGTGGATGCCAATGGCATCCACCACCCGACGCTCGATCGTCACATGAACCCATCATATCGCATCACGTACCATGTCATACCATCACACATCATGTCACAAATTGTTGTACATACTGTATCAGACAATCTCATTTGTGAGTGTGTGCCTTGCTGTCATGTCATTTGCTATAGCTTACACACATTTCTGGTATCCAGTTCATGCCATAGCATAACATGTCATGTAATGCAGCGGCATATACACACATCAGGATTCGGCGGTGGTGGGGCTTCGTAAACAATGTTGCTTGAGGTATTGTAGATGTCGTGGGGTTGCATATATATATATATATATGTATATGTACATTTATAATGCATGTATACATGCATATGTAGGTAATAACCTGTGCTTCGCGACATGAACTCTGCGATCCGAGGCCTGGCGGCGGCCGTGAGAAGGGGAGAGTGAGAGCCGGAAGGAAGGAGCAGGCGAAGAGGCACTCCAAAGCCCAGACGGCAGCGCTGCAAGACGCTGTCCGTGGCTTCAGCACCATGGCGTCCGTGCTGGACCGCGTGACGCAAAGATAGACAGAAGAGTCATCGTTGGCACGTGTGAGAGTTGTATACTACTTGTCGTGTAGTGTAGAACAAAATATTGGTGAGTCCGGCAAGGCAGCAACAAGCTGGGACAAGAGTCACTTCAGTGAGGTTTGCGTCACGTGGGAAGGCTCGGATGCCAAGAATGCCGTGCCAAATTCGAGAGGCCTTCCTCCTGAGGTGATCGGGCACGATATAAGGGTCGTAGTATATATGTTCTTGATAGCTACATGTGCATATATATATATATACTTGTCTACTACAGCACAAATGTGATTCTTCTTATGTTATTGGTGCATTATAGTATCTAATGTGAACAATGCCATTGTAGTATTGTTATCTTCTGATAGCCTTATATTCAGGTACATAGTAGTATACTTGTACAGGACTACTACGACTTGTATAGTATGTCCATAGTAATATTACTATACCCCACTATAAGGACCATACTATTACGATATTACCTGTACTATATAGTACATTGACTACTACCAATACGACTACTACAGGGCTGTACCACTAGGATAATCTGATATTACTATACTATACTATACTATATAATGCTGCGACGATACTGTATATACTAGTTTGTATTTCTGTTCATCTATACAACTTAACTATATATCATCTATGGTAGAATAACAAAGCTGGCCTCCGGCGACCCGATCCCCAAGATGTCTCCCCCCGGGAAGGTGTCGGTGCGTGCTGGCAGCATGCAGGCGGTGCATGTACAACCCTAAAGCCTAAACCCTAAACCCTAAACTCTTTTCCCTAAGCCCTAAATCCTAAAACCCTAAAACCCTAAACCGATGTGCATACAGTTGTGCACACACACACATTGAACCCTAAACCCTAAACCCTAAACCCTAAACCCTAAGCCCTAAACCCTAAATCCTAAACCCTAAACCCTAAACCCTAATAGTTGTGCACAGACACACACACACACACATTCAGGTTTAGTGCGATCATGACCGAGTCCCGCTTTCTGTGTGCATGCTGCCCACCTGGAATTAGGCTCTGCACAGGGCGACACGAGGCTGCAGGGATGTCATTGGGGCGATATCATGTTCTTTAGATGATTGTATTAGATTGCATTGTGTGATCCTATTGGACAACTCCTTTTATTTGCCATGTAGCACACCCAGAAAAAACCCGCTAGTTCCCTAAGCTCTTGCTCTGCAGATACGTTAACACCCGAGATAACGGTTTCGCAGCAGGCACATCAGCTGGTTATATGGTTGAATGGAATGTCAGGATCTCAAGAGTTTTTGTTTGAGGTAGTGTTTGAGGTAGATAGATGTCAACTGAATAGTTGGTACACATATTATAGGCATGCAGCCTCGACGCCAGGGAGCCCATGGGTTTTTTTTTTTGATCCTCGCCTCACGATGATGGCTGAGCAAAAAGCAGTTCCGAGCTGCATGTGTTGTGTTGATAGTTGAAGCCTTAGCCCGGATAAGCCCGAAGCCTCAAACCCTTAAGCCCTATATAAGCCCGAAGCCTTAAACCCTTAATCCCTATACAAGCCCGAAGCCTTAAGCCCTTAAGCCCTACAAAACCCAAAGACTTTAGCCCTTAAGCCCTATATAAGCCCGAAGCCTTAAACCCTTAGGCCCTACATAAGCCCGAAGCCTTAAACCTATATAAGCCCGATGTCTTAAACCCTTAAGCCCTATATAAGCCCGAAGCCTTAAGCCCTTAAGCCCTCTCTATAAGCCCGAAGCCTTAAACCCTTAAGCCCTACATAAGCCCGAAGCCTTAAACCCTTAAGCCCTATATAAGCCCGAAGCCTTAAACCCTTAAGCCCTATATAAGGAAGCCTTAAGCCCTTAAGCCCTCTCTAAGCCCGAAGCCTTAAACCCTTAAGCCCTATATAAGCCCGAAGCCTTAAACCCTTAAGCCCTAAAAAAGCCCGAGGCCTTAACCCCTTAAGCCCTATATAAGCCCGAAGCCTTAAGCCCTTAAGCCCTCTCTAAGCCCGAAGCCTTAAACCCTTAAGCCCTATATAAGCCCGAAGCCTTAAACCCCTAAGCCCTATATAAGCCCGAGGCCTTAAACCCTTAAGCCTTGGCCGAGGCTCGGTACCAGTGCAGCGGAACAAAACTCGATGACTCAGTACGCAATAGTAACAATAACAAATATCATAAATTTAGTAGAGCCTACAGGAAAAAACCTAATCATATAGTTGTTCTTATGCCACGGAACTTTTAGCAACAATGTTGTTCAACATTGGTAACATAGCCCCCAATGTTGCGCAACATTGGGGGTTTCCGCGGGCAGCCCCCCATTATTTTGCAACATTAAAAAATATGAAGCTAATGTTTTGCAACATTGGGGTAATAGCCCCCAATGTTGCGCAACATTGGGTGCTATATCGGAAATTAAAACAATGCTTTGCAACATTGAAATAATTGCACCCAATGTTGCGCAACATTGGTGCCCTAAGCCCGGGATAGGATGATACGCCAACCCGCTTCATAAATCAAGCGATGTTCACACTGGCTTGTGCAACATCCTTGCAGGGCGGGGTCGCTCGCTTGGGTCTATCTGCAGGCACCGCCGCAGATATTTTTGACTCTGTGCTGCCAGGATCGTCCACAGGTATCCCGCCATGTTCCAGCCCGTCACGCCTCCGCTTCACCTGCTGATGGGGCCGATGACACCCCCCTGGGATCCGGATTCGCAGCCAAGGACACCCCCGACTAGTGGCACAGTGGTCCTCAACATGTACTGTCGGCATGAGAGAGGATGCAAGCTCAGGACGGAATCGGATTACGATTTATACTGCGGTTGTTAGTATAATAGATTTTCGGTTGGGTCCCCTTCCACACCCACCCTTTGGCCTGAAGGATTCACCTGAACTATGCCACCACAGGGAGCCGTTGCCTCGAGCTGCAATTCACTAAGACCCAGGATCTGAGCTTCGGTACAATCATGGAGCAGGTCTATCGGCGCGCTAGTGACGTTCCTGCATCTGCGGAGATTGCTCTGATAGGGACACGCACGCATCGCTTGTTGTCCAGCCACTACGAGCGCTATGTCTGGAAATCCTGCCGATTCGGAAAGCACAAGTTGTGGCACGGGCTCCCCAAACGGGGACGCCGCCACCTCAACTTGCAGATGCACTGCAAGAGCCTCCGGCACTCGAATAGCGCCTAAGGCGCACTCGGGCCGGACGGCATTAATTTTTCTTAGGTTGATTTTTTTTCAAGACATAAAAACGGGGTGCTGCACAGTGATGTTGTCTGTGGCGGTACAGTGCTGTTTGCCGTTTGTGTTTATAGTCTTGCTAGAGCTTATTGTTTTTTTTTTGTTGTGGTGGTCGTGTTTGGTCGTGTCCGTGGTTCAGGTTGCTGTGTGTCAGTGGTGTACTCTATAGTAGTAGATAGTTTAGTGTACTATAGTATGGTGGTACTTATTCAAGAGTATAGTGTAGAGTAGTATAGTAGTAGTAGCAGTAGTAGTATAGTAGTAGTAGCCATAGTAGTAGTAGTAGCCGTCGTAGTAGTAGTATAGTAGTAGTAGTAGTAGCAGGATAGTTCCACAGTATTGTTTTGTTAGTAGTATCAGCACATTAACATTATTTCGTAGTGGTAGATACTATTAGCCGAAGCATAGAAGAGGTAATAGTGGTAGCAGCAGTATAGTTATATTTAGTATATAGTACATTGTGTAGTCATCGTGGCGTAGACATAAGGGTAGTACTGGTAGTGGTATAATATAATGATACAATGATACTATCTAACTGGTGAAAGCAGTATAGTAGTAGTAGTAGTAGTAGTAGTAGTAGTAGTAGTATAGTAGTATAATAGTAGCAGTAGTAGTAGTAGTAGTAGTAGTAGTAGTAGTATACTCTTAGTATTGTAGTGGTAGTAGTAATAGTAGTAGTAGTAGTAGTAGTAGTAGTAGTATAGTAGTAGTGGTAGTAGTATACCACCACACTATGTGTATGCTTCTTCTTCTACCACTCCTATAGTACTACTACTACTACTGCTGCTGCTTACGGCTGCTAGCTGCTAGCACTACTATTACAACTACAACAACAACTACTGCTACTACTATACTACTATACTACTA